AATCAGAATTCAGCAGAACTTTCTGATTATAAATAGCAGGCATTCTTGGTCCAGTGACAGGTGCTTTATTGTTTGTTGGCAGCACAGGGGTCTGGGGGGGAATGGCTAAGCAAAAGTTTCCTCTCTTACTGCAAAAACTCTGGGGAAGAATTGGACTATGAGCCAAAATGGAAAAGAGCAGGATGATGGCTAGTTAAGGGGTGATAAATTTGTTAGGCTGCTATTTTTCCCTTTCCTTTTCTTTCTTTCTTCTTTCTTTCTTTCTTCTTTCTTCTTTTTTTCCTTTTTTCTTTCTTTCTTCTAGTGGGGAAGTGCTCAATTTCTTTGATTTCTTGACAACTTAATGGTTTCTTTGAAAGAGATGTAATCCACCTAATGGAGGAGTTAAAGTAATAAATGTAGGAATAAAACTCATATTTTCTACGTTTTTGGTGGCAGAGAGGTGGGAATGATAGAAATATCAGGGACTTGAACCCCTGGAACGCTCTTGAATGATTTGGTGTCCTCAGTCATAACCAATTCTTAAGTGATTTCTCATGCTTCTATCTGGTCCCTACTCCCATTATCAAAGCCTGTAAACTGATGGGATATGGCTCAGGAGCCACAGCAGGCTAGAATACTGGAACGGCTCCTGGATCAGAGAAAGCAGACAGATACCAGCAGAGAGATCACTAATCTAGCAGTGCCTAAGATATAGCCCCGCCTGCTAAGCAAACTAGAGTATCCAATTTCCATGGCATAAGCAGACAAGTAGGTCAAGGTTCAGAAAGAGTAAAACTTTTATTAAGCAACAGACATCCTAGAAGATGTAGTAGAGCATCCCTACAAATTATATATATATATACATACACACATACAGAGAGAGAGAGAAAGAAAACCCAAAGATGAAGAGAAAATCTTGAAAAAAGCCAGAGTGGGCGAAAACACCTTACCCATTAAAGAGAAGGAAGAAGAAGAAGAAAAGAAATAGAAGAAGAAGAAGAAGAAGGAAGAGGAGGAGGAGGGGGAGGAGAAGGAGAAGAACAGATTTCTTGTCAAAAACTATACAAGCAAGAAGAGTGGAGTGAAATTATTAAAATGCTTAAAGTATAGGATATAAAATTCTTCCAGCAAAATTTTCCTTCAAAAGTGAAGAATTATAAACTTTCCCAAACAAAAATCAAAGGAACCCATTCCAGAACACCTGTCCTGTGAGAAATGTTCAAAGGAATCCTTCAGGAAGAAAGAAAATGATATAGGTCAGAAATTCAGATCAACATAAAAAAAGAAAGAGTGTTGGAGACTAAATAAAGTGAAACAAATCTTTTCTCGTTCTTAACTGATTTAAAAGATAAATTTTAAAGCAGTAATAATAACAGAGCATTGGGAAATCATAATACATAGGTCTTTCTTTCTTCTTTCTTCTTTTTTTCCTTCCTTTCTCTTTCTTTCTTTCTTTCTTCTTTCTTCTTTTTTTCC